ATAGAACATAAAATGGGCTCCAATTTTACAATCTTATAACTACCCCTCTTTTAAATGCACATTTAAAATGTATCTTGGTACACAGAGATGTATTTAGGGGTAAAGGGGCGTTAACTCCGATTCTCTAACTTATTTTCAAACAGTTTGGTGTAGATGTGTGTGGGTGGGGTGGAGAGAAAACTATAAAGCACATGCAGTAGAATGCCAGCATTTAGGAAATCTGAGTGAAGGGTTTGTGGGAATTTCTTTTACTATTTTTGTAAATTTTCTGTAAGTAAAAAATTATTTCTAGAGAAAAAGTCGAAACTATATATCCTGAGCATTTTTTGCCCTGCAAGCACATTTGTTTACATTATTAAGTCTGCATAACATGTTGCTATATGGATACACTGTAAAGGTCTTTAGGTAGACTCCCATTGTTGGTCATTTGATCATTTCCAGTTATTTACCGTTATAAGCTGCTGGTTAGAGATCTTCAAATATGATATATTCTTATGTGTTTAGAATGGAACTCCCACACTCCTTTGAAATACTCCTACTCCCCCATAATGGACCTCATGAAAGTTCATAGCATAGCTTAACCAATTAATGCTTAAACCTAAGACCTTATTTAGGATTTTTAATAGGTTAAATGGTTATTGTTTAGCAATATTTATCTTACCCTGATACTAATAAACAACGTCATAGAAAAATTTCTTCAGTCCTAGTTCACATCATGTAATAAAAATTTAGGAATAAACTTTTAGTGACATGAAACATCTTGGTTCAGTGTTGACTGAGTAATTACGAAAATCGGGAAGTCTTTTAGTGTCCTGAAGCTGTAAGCTTTCTGACCTCATTCTGTTAGAAGCAGTTGGCAAATCTTTTTTGCCCTCATTCCAACATGCTCCACTTTTTAATTGATTGCCAGATACTTTAATTGGATTCCCCTTCTCATTCTAGCAACAGAGATAGGGTGAGGGGACTATTTGACCTGAGTCACTACAGTCATATGCTCTGTTCTATTGATTCACCTTCAGCTTTTGTTGTTCTACATAATGATACATGTGAAAAATTGAAACTGTAGAATATAATTACATTTTCCCTTCAGGTCAAAACAATTCATTTCT